GAGCCTCCCCCACCCCTCCATGCAACCTCCAGGGCCTGGCAGCTTTTGCTAAGAGGCACTTTGGTTCCCTCTAGTGGTAAAGCAGGGGAGCACCCCCCCAACCTGCCGTGAGGCTCATTTGCATACCACCTGCTCCGGCTCACCCCATTGGTGGGGACGAGGGCACCACCCACTGGTGGCCAGACGGGTCTGGGAATTGCCCAAAGTGACAAATTCCAGGGGTTGCCCCGGTTCTCTCCCATTCTGCAAAGGGCACCCACGTGAAAGGGAAGGTATGTGGGAGCACAGGGGAGGCCTGTGCACCAGAGACAACGGGTCGCCCTAACAAGTCTGTCTGTGGGCCCTCATTAAATAGCCCAAACAAGAAGCCACTGGTCCTCCAATCCAGCTTCAATGGGCGGGGGGAAGAGCAAACAGAACATAGCGCCGAGCGAGCCACCCACCCAGTCAGCCAGTCCCGGCTCCAGTGACACCCGTGGCCAGGGGCTGTGTCCCTGCCCATCCTGGCTAATAACCACTGACGGACCCATCCTCCAGGCCCTGATCTTGTTCTTTTCTGAACCCTTTTGGCCTGACAACATCCCCTGGCAAGGAGTTCCACAGGTTAACGGTTCGTTGGGTGAAGAAATACTTCCTTCGGTTTGTTTTAAACCCGCTGCCTGTTCATTTCATCGGGTGACCCCTTGTTTTTGTGTTACGAGAAGGGGTAAATAACACGTCCCTAATCACTTGCTTCACACTAGTCATGAGTTTATAGATCTCCTTCATATCCTTCCTTACTCGTCCCTTTTCCAAGCTGAATCGGCCCCGGCTTTTTCACCTCTCCTCGTATGGAAGCTGTTCTGCCCCCCTAAGCGTTCCTGTCGCCGTTCTCTGCCACCTTTTCAATCCGAGTAGGTCTTTTTTGAGATGGGGCGACCAGAACGGGATGCAGTATTCGAGGTGTGGGCATGCCATGGATTTATACAGCAGCATTAGGATATTTATTCGCGTATTATCTATCCCTTTCCAATACGCCGTTCGCTTTTCTGACGGCCCCTGCCCACCGAGCGGACGTTGGCAGAGAACGATCCGTAATGACTCCCAGAGCTCTTGCTTGAGTGTGAATGGCTCATTCAGGCCCCAGCCTTTCCTATGTAGAGTGGGGATTCTGTTTTCGATCGACCCTGAATTTCACCTGCAGCTCGGTGAGGTCCCTTTGTAACTCTTCGCGGGCTGCTTCGGCCTGATTTATCCTGCATCATTTTGTGTCATCTGCAAACTCGGCCGCCTCCCTGGTTCCCCCTTTTCCCAGCTCACTTATGCCCATGTTGAGCAGCGCTGGGCCCAGTGCAGCCCCCCGGGGACCCCACTATTCACCTCTCTCCAGCCTGAAAACTGCCTCTTTATTCCACCCCTTTGTTTCCTGTCTTTCCTCAGTTACTGACCCGATGTCCCGATTTTATAGGGACAGTCCCGATTTTTGGGGCTTTTTCTTATATAGGCTCCTATTACCCCCCACCCCCATCCCGATTTTTCACATTTGCTGTCTGGTCACCGCACCCGCGAGGGACCTTCCCCCTTATCCCATGACAGCTTAGTTTGCTTGGGTGAGGGATCTTGTCACCGGCTTCCTGAAAGTCTAAGGACGCTGGCTCCCCCTTGTCCACTTGTGTCGACCCCCTGGAAGAATTCTAATAGATCGGTGAGGCGTGATTTTCCTCTCCAAAAGCCAACACATCACGTTCGTCTCTGTGCCTGATCACGCTGTTCTTTACCACGGTTTTAACCAGTTTGCCCGGTACTGAAGTTAGGCTCACCGGCCTGGAATTGCCAGGATCGCCCCCGGAACCTTTTTGAAAAATCGGCATCACATGAACTACCCTCCAGCCATCTGGGCAAGAGGCGGAGTTAAGCGATTGGTGACACACCCCAGTGAGTAGTTCGGCAATTTCATCTCTGAGTTCCTGCCGAACTCGGGTGATTCCCAGCCGGGCCTAGGGACTTGTTCCTGGTTAATGTATCACTTTGTTCCCAAACCTCCTCTACCGACGCCTCAATCTGGGGCAGTTCCTCAGATCTGTCACCCAAAAAACGTGGCTCGGGTTTGGGAGTCTCCCTCCCATCCTCTGCAGTGAAGACGGACGCAAAGAATTCATTTGGCTTCTCCGCAACGGCCTTGTCTTCCTTGAGTGCTCCCTTAGCACCTCGTTCACTGATTGTTGGTCAGGCTTCCTGCTTCTTGTGTCATTTGCTGGTTGCTCTTTAAATTCTCTTTTGGCCCAACGATCCTTTTGCACTTGATTTGCCAGAGTTTAGGCTCCTTCCCACACTGGGATTTGACTTTTTAAAGGACGCCTTTTCTTCCCTAACCTCCTCTTTCACTCTGCTCTTTCGCCCTGGGGGCATTTTCTCTGGTTCTCTATTTTTCTCTCTCTGGGGTTTACATGTGGGGTTTGCCCAGGCCTTTCCTGCAGTTGGAATGGATGGGGTGTCCTGTACCCAGGGGGAGGGAATGGGGGTGACCCTAGTAACATGGGAAAAAGAACGGGGTAGGATTGGAGCTAGGCGGAGGAGCCGCGGGGCCAGGCCTGCCCTGGCCCCGTGGCTTGAACCGACCGGCCGGAGCCGGGCTCCGGCGCTGTGACTCCCCGCCCTCCCCTCCCCCCGCACGCCCCCCGGGCTCACCCTCCTCGCTCTGCTGGTCCGGGCTGGACTCCGAGTCCGAGGAGGACGCAGCCTCCTTCAGCCATTTTTTCCTCTTCTTCGGGGGCGGCTCCGCCTTCACCTTGGCGGGTTTGGGTTTGGGCTTGGGGGCACCGGCCGGAGCAGCCTTAGGGGGGGCGGGCGCCGTGGGCTCCGTCTTCTCCGCTTTGGGGGCCTTGTCAGCCTTGGCCGGCTTGTCCGCCCGGGGCGGCTTCTCGGCCCGCTCCGCCTTGGGGGGCTTGTCCGGCTTGGGGGCCCGCTCCACCTTCTCCGGCTTGGGGCCCTTCTCTGGCTTGGGGCCCTTCTCCGGCTTCTCCGGCTTGGGGCCCTTCTCCGGCATCTCCGCCCGCTCCGACGCCTCCGGTTGCTTCTCGGCCTTGGGCGGGGCCGGGACCTTAGGGCCTGAAGTCTTGGGCTGGTTTTGCCTCCTGCACGGGGCGGGAAGGGAGCGGGGGGCCCGTTAGGGACCCTGGCACCGGAGGCCCAGCCCGGAGCGGGCAGGAAACACGCCGGGGAGGGGTCGGGATGCACCCACCTCCCTCTCTGCGCCCCCCCTCACCTCACGGCCTGCAGCGGCCGGTGCCAGGGCTTCTTGGAGCAGACGCGTACGTAATCCTTCTTGTTGATGTTCTCCAGGAACTTCACGTAGAGACGCTGGTAGCGGTTCTTGGCATCCCCGAAATAGCCCAGGTACTGGGGAGGAGGGAGGGGGGAGGAGAGATCAGAGGAGAGAGGAAAAGCGGGGGAGGGGGGAGGCTGCTCCTGGGGGTGTCTCCGACTCCCCCGTCTGAAAGGGGAGCCGGGAACAGAGACGGAAACTTCTCTCCCCAGTGTCCCCAACCCCGCTGGGCGCGTGGTCCCCGGGCACCCCATCCTCACGGGGCAGGGCCCCGGGCACCCCGTTCTCACGGAGCACGGACCCCCCCCCCGGATCTTCCCCCCAACTAGCATTCCCTGGGGGTGATGCAGGAAAAGCCCTAGGCTGGCTTCGGGTGGGGTGGGGCAGGGTCACCCCCATGCTCTGGGGGGGGGGGGGCGGGGACACTCACGTTGCTGGTGGCACAGAACTGCCGCTGCCCGTCCTTGATCTCGGGGGTGAATTTCTGCAGCAGGGCTTTCTGCACCCGCCAGATGGGGGGCGGCTCCCGGCCCGTCTGCAACGCCAGCTGGAGACACGGGGGGAAGAGGGGGTCACTCATTCCCGACCCACAGCCCCCGGCTAGCCCAGCCCTGCCCCCCACAGCTCTGCTGGTGCCCCTCACTCCCGACCCGCAGCCCCTCGCTAGCCCAGCCCTGCTGGTGCACCCCACTCCCGACCCGCAGCCTCCTGGTAGCCCAGCCCTGGGCTCCGCCCCAGCCCTGCCAGTGCCCCTCACTCCCGACCCGCAGCCCCCCACCTTGAGGGCCTGGATGTCCTCCACGCGGATGACGAATTCGTCGCGTTCCCGGAAGATCCCCTCCCCCCCGCTCTCGGCCTCCTCCTCGTCCGTCTCGCCGCACACGGCTGCCGTCTCCTGCTTCTTGGCCAGGTGCAGGGGCCGCGCGTCCTCCGGCTCCTCCAGCTCGGGGGAGGCCTGGGCCGGGGGCCCCTCGGGGGGTAGCGGGGGGGGCTCGGGGGGCGAGGCCGGGGAGGCAGCTGGGGGGGGCTCCTGCTGGGAGGCCTCAGAGGGGGCCGGGCTGGGCAGCTTCTCCTCCACCGCAGGGGCGTCTGTGGGTGGGGCGGAGGTAGGGTTAGCGCAGGTGGGGGGGGGATGAACCCTCTTACCCAGCATGTTGTAGGGCACCGGTCCCAGCCCTGGGGGTGCATGTAGCTGACGGTGGGGTGGGAGTCAGGGGGTGCCCTCTGGGGGATTCAGGGGTGTGGATTGGGGGTCCCAGGGGGAAGCACCGTGGGGGTAGGGCCATTCCCTGGGGTACCATAGTGAGTGGGGTGGGGGGCGTCCCGGGGAGCAGGGGACTGGGGGACCCCATAATAGGGGAATTGGGGGCACCTCAAAAGGTTTGGGGGCACTCCATAGCAGAGTGGAGTGGATTCAGAGGCCCCAGGGACAAGAGGGGACCCGGGGCAGAGGGACGCGGGGATGTCCCGGGG